TTTGCTTTTTCTTGATGATGTTGCTTCTTAATAGTTGTGACTTATCGTGGAGGTTTGGAATTGCAGGAAGGTAAGGAAAGCTAGGTTAGTGCCACGAATCCACTACAAATAATGGACTGGACTATATTACAATACTTCTGAAGTCATCGTTTCTCTTGTTCTTTGTTCCCAGTTCACAAATACTAGATGATTAGTGTTGACCTTTAGCTTATCATGTTCTCTTCCTCAATGCCAAGGCCAACTCACAGGTATTTGTTTGACTACCTTCATCATACAGCTGCTGAAGAGGATGCAGGATGGAGCCAATGCCGTTCCATAAAAGGGATAAAACCAAACATTGTACATAAATGACCTCATGTGTTTGCATGACATCCAGTTAAGTAGATCCAGGAACTGTATAATTCCCACCTTATAGGAAACCAAAGCACAAATATTTAATTTTTATTAGCTTTCACAGGAGAGCACAGTGGAGTGTTAGAAAATGCCTAAGAATATAAGCCAAAGTCAACAGGCTGCAAGTCGTCACAATCTGTCGATGTGTTGGCCTGTGAAACGGCAGAAACAGAGGCAGAGAATACACTGGAAGAACAGGGAGCCTCTGACTTATTCTGACAGTTTTGTTGGGGTTTTGTGGAGATGAAATCAGCTTAGCTTGAATGGAATTTTCCACAGACAGAGCTGGAGAGGTAGCAGAAAGGATAGCATGAGCAAAGAAAGGCACACTTAAAGATGGATATTGGCATTCATGTGAAAAGGAACATAGTACACTTGAGCTCTCCTTGGCCCAGGCACAATTTCTATTAGAGAGCTGGTCATTTGGGTCTATGGAGCTCTGGTGGTGTGGTGGTTAAGCTTTGGGGTGTGATCCATATGACTGGCAGTTCAAAACCACTAGCAGCTCCTCGGGAGAAAGACTGGGCTTTTTACGCCCATAAATAGTTAGTCTCAGAAACCCACAGGGCATCACCATTGACTCAGTGGCAGTGAGTTAATTTGGGTCTAGGGAAGATAATGATTTAGAAATTGTGTTATCCTGGGTTGACTAGATTAACAGTTCATAGACTCTCGTGTATAAAAAAGAGTTTCATATAAAAGAGCAATTGTATATTGAGAAAACATCCCAGCCCAGTCCAGATCAAGTCCATAAGTCTGATATGAGCCCACATGTCCAATACCAGTCTGTAATTTTCTCTTCAGACTCATGAAGCACATGCAATGGTGCCGAATACAGGAAGATTACAGGTCAGTAGGTGGAAAGTCTTGTGGATCCAGTGGCAGTATAAGCATCTAAAAGTTGGCAGGGTCTCTGTATGGCTCCTCCAGCTCCAGGGCTTTATCTTAGCTCCATCTGTCTTCTCAGCAGGAATGTCTTACAGGGAGTGTGTATGTGTCCTGCCTCCAGTGAGCTACTTATCTCCTTAGCACCCCCAAATGAGGCCATCAAGATACCACCTGACTCACAGGCTAAACTCCACCCCTTCACTCTTGATAGTCTCAAGTTGGCAACAGATTATATAACTACCACAGACCACCCCCTGTCAACTTGACACGCTCACACAACTCTTTAACCATACGTAATGTGCAAGCAAACAATAATGAAATCATATCTGTACCTAACAGATAAAACTAATAAAACTAACAGATAAAACTAAAATGCATACAATTCAATGTGTCTCATTTAAATATTACAGTCTATAAGTGAACAAAACAAAAATATCCTATACCTATGTGAACACCTACACCATAATCCTATGAACATATTCCTATGAATATATTCCGCCACCTATGAAAGCTCGTAAGCCAGCCACTTCAGAAATCAACCACAGTTGAATCCATATCAGTAGAAGAAATCGCCAAGGGAAAATAATTAGGAGACAAAGAGAAAAGGCTGAAAGTAGGGCTGGAAAGCAACACTTCAGTAGTAGGGAGAGATGGCGAAGGAAGAGGAGTCACTGACATATGACTTGTGAGAGCGGTAGAGATGGATAAAATGTGATCGACCCCCGGGTTTCCACAGCTTTCCAGGAAGAGAACCAAATGATGCTTGAGTTGGAGGAGTAAAGGCTTGCCGTGATGAGAGTGGCAACATTCAAGTCCCTAAGATCCACACCTTTCAAATTATCACACACAAAATGGACTTTTTCTTAAAAGAGGAAATTTCTTTTAATTTTTTGTTAACCTCGGACTCAATCATCCAAACTCATCACTAGTTCTTATTTTACCCACTGCAGTTAGGCTGAATTCTAATTCATGGTGACCCTATAGGGCAGAGTAGAGCCGCTCCATCAGGTTTCCAAGCTGTCACGTTTCTGGAAGCAGGATGCCGTATCTTTCTCCCATGGAGCCATGACTGGTGGGATTTAACTATTGATCTTTTAGATAGCAGCTTACTGTTTAATGACTGTTCAACGTTTTACACATCAGGTTAACATTTGAGCTAGAGAATCAACTGTTGTGAAGCTCCCCAAAGACTCTTATCCCCCACCCTCTCAAGATTTTCATGGAAATGGGACCAGACTAGTGTTTTTATAATAACAATAAAACGATGTGAGAAGAAGATGTGGCAGTCCACTTTCATAATGATAGCATAATGATAGAAACTGGGGCTTTGAATTCATTTAGCCAGGTTCAATTATGGTTGAAAAAATTATACCAGAACAGGCCCAACATTTTAAAACATGGATGAATCAAAATGGTAATTAGAAAAGGAAAAACTGCAGGTTGAAAAATTGCTAGAAACCCAATCTCCTTCTTAGAAATCAAGCGTAGCATATACACTGCAGAGCAACTAAATTTCTTGATCGACCAGTGCTGGCTCAAAGATGCTGGTCAACTGTACTGCTCTGCATGTGTGCTGAGTCCCACAGTGCTAGCAATAATTCAATATTCTACACGGCACCAGGCTAATGAAAGAGCTCACTACGCCTCTTCTGAGTGTCCCAACCTATAATTTTCTGCATTCTGGTTAGCATTCCAGACCATGCACATTTAAAAATTTTGGTTCATTCTGATTTTGCTTTGTCAGCATGACTGAACTAGTTTTAACTGGTTCAAAGCCCTGCCTATTGAAAACCCTATGCTGCAGTTCCATTTGTCCTATAGGCTCATTATGAGTCTCCTCAATGGCAGTGGGTTTATATTAAGTAAACTTCAATCAATTTCTAAGATTGGCTTAATACGAATGAATTTTATTGTAACACCTGACATGTGTTAGGACTTCACCTATGTGGTGCTGCTCAGAGATTACATAAGTACAGAGGCTCCTGAGTCATACCGACTGCTTGGAAATTCATGCAGCCATATGATGAGGACTTGGTAACTACAGCTTGTTTCCTCATTTGCAAAATGGGCATGATAATATAGTACTTACTAGAGTTAAGTCAAGAAGTTTGGCTACAAAATCACAGACACCTTTACAAAACTAAGCTATCAACATGTGAAGCCATTGTTTCTCGACATATCTTCTACCTAGATCTGCACACATCTGAAGATGGTGTTTCCATCCCTCTAACCCCTTCTTTGAAGAATTCTTTGCTTTTCAGTTTACACCATGTCAAAGCAGCAGTTTGGGAATACTCCAAGCACTCAACTTATGTTCCTTTTCAATAGTCTTTGAGTTTCTTGGGGGTGTGGGGAGGGGAAGAAGTCAGAAGGGGCTGTGGGGGGATGGTGAAAGGCTGCTCTGTGGAATTCTCATAGGCCGTCCTGCTCCGCTCCAATAATGAGCAGGTCCACTGTCTTGAGGGAAACAAAACATTCCTTGGAGCAGCTATTTTATCCCCCACAAATGCACGTTTTCAACTTTCTTAAAACTTCTCCATACTAAATCCCCATCATAATCCTGAGTCCTTCAAGACAATTCAAGCTTAAAAAAAGGAAAGAAAACCTACAGGGCTGCTTTGAATTTGACTTGCCTAGCAGATCTCTTCAGAGGCCACTGGGTTGGCGAGAACTTTCGTTTTTGAAAGATACCTTAAGGAAAACTTGTATAAGAAAAGAACTTGTCTCTAGCCATCCACGGATCTCAGACATGTTTAAGCATGCTTTGTTTGGAATAAACCTGTGCAAATATGAACTGTAACCTTCAAAGCAATACTTTTTGACTTTGCTTAGTACTGTTAAACTTATGTACACTGTATCACAGCCTGGAATGGAGTACATCAGATAACGTAAGCCAAACCCTCAGAACAATGCTACCAAAGGCTGTTCATTGCGCAGACCCTGGTTTGTAAATTCCTTGAGGGCAGGAGACCACTCCAGCGTATCTCATCCTACCAGAGCCCTGGGAGCAATGTCACTTGCAGGAAAATCAACCAAACGCACTGCCATCGAGCTGATGGCGACTCCTAGTGACCCCGCAGGGCAGCGTAGACCTGCCCCCTGTGAGTTTCCGAGACGGGGCACTCTTTCCTGGGGTAGAAACCCTTAACTTTCTCCCGCAGAGCGGCTGGTGTTTTCGAACTGCTGACCTCGCGGATCACAGCCCAACGCATAACCGCTAGGAAGGGACGCACAGGAGAGTCAGCAGCCGGCGCGGAGGGCTGAGCGCCGGGTGCGTGGCAGTGGGCGCTCGGAGGAACCACACGTCCCAGGGTGCAGCGCGCCCGGAGCGGCGGTTCCGACGGGCGGCCCCGAGCGGGATGCAGGGGAGGAAGGAGTGTATCCTGGGACCAGTAGTCCTCGGGGCGCACGGTCTCTGGGCGGGGGAGGGCCGAGGCGAGCGGTCCCTCCCCGCTTCCTCTTTTCGTCCACGTCGCCCTTCGGTGGACCAGTACCCGCTGCGGTCTCAGCGGCGGCCCGCTACCACCAAGGACCCATTGGTGCCGAGCGCCGACCCGTCGGGCCCGTCCGGAAGTAGCGTTGGGGGGCGGTTTCCTAGACTACGACACCGGAAGGCCGGGGGCGGCGCTCCCGGGGGGCTGCGGGCGGAGGGCGGCGGCAGCGCTGGCGCTGGGGACCGGCTCGGCGGCTTCGGGAAACAGCTCGGTGCGGGCGGCCGCCCGCGTCCCTCCGCATCCTGCCCCCGGCTTGGCCCGCAGCCCCCTCGCCACCCGCGTCCCGAGATGTGTCCCCCTGGCCGGGCGTAGCCGCTGCGCGTGCGCGGAACCGCGGGGCCATGAGCGAAGCCGGCGGCGGCCCGGGCTGGGGGTTCCCGGTCCCCCAGCGAGCGCCATGGAGCCTGGTGGCGGCGACGGCCGCGCTCTGCCTGGTGTCAGCCACGTCCGTGTGGCCGGCGGGGGCCGCGCCCATGAGTCGGGAGGAGAGACAGAAGCTTGGGTAAGGGCGCTTGGCAGCCCGGGTGGGTTTCCTTTGAGCCTGGCCGCTGGCGAGGTGCCTGTCGTGGCGACCCGGGAGCGCATTGGCCTTTCCTGTCGCGACCGGGACAGCTGTCACTGCGCGAGGATCCAAGCGGAGTGGACAGGGTCCAGGAAGGGGGGCAGAGGGCACCGCCCGCGTCGTGTGACCTCGGGAGCTCTCAGGGTGTCGCCTGGGCCGTCGGTGACACACTCGGGCTCCTGACACCAGCCCAGGTGTGTCAGAGTCAGTGGCCCGGCAAAGGGGCTGCTTGGAGAGTCCCGCCTGGGCTCTTTCCTAGGAGGCAAGGTTTCGATTTTTCGTACTAGTGAGCCCCCAATAGGAAAATCTTGCTGATCTCATAGTAGTTAGGGAAATCGCATGTACACCTGTTACGGAAAGGGGGCGTTGATTGGAACTTGAACTTTGCACATACTACTGTTTCAGTGTTTTCTTGCAGGCATTTTCATAATACAGCCATGTATCACGTAGCGTCCAATATATGTTTAGTGTAATACGTTGTGACTTGGACCTTGTGCAAACACCATATGGTAGGCTGGATCTGCTTTTTCTTTAAGCATCTGCAACAGCGTGGTGCCTTAGCAGTGATCTTCAAGAAGCTGAGGGGGCATTTGCTTTTGTGTTTGGCCCTTTGTTCTCATCATTAACGGATTCTCCAATAGCCCCTCGCCCATTTTCATTGGACTTGTAGCTTTCAGTGGAGCTGATTCTTTAACAGCTCGGAGCCTTTTTTTCTTTGAATGTGATTGTTGACTAGGGCATGCCTGAGTTGCCAGCGGGAGCTTTCTCTGATTTTCCACCTTAGTGTGGTTTAATAACCGTTTGTTTCTCTTTCAAATCAATGCTGCTTCTTTGCCTCTTGCTGCGGCTGTCACTAGCACTGGTTTTGCTGCGCTTAGGAACCCTGGTGCACTTTAGTCACATTTCGAAAGAAAGTTAAACAGTTAATGCTACAGCATTCGAGACAAGCAGTGCACACGATTGGGTGGTGTTGCCTGTGACTTGAAGCATGCATGTACTGTTACATGATAAACTTCTTAGAAAGTACAGTGCATTACATACATATGCCAATACCACAGGCATTTATTATGTCTGTGGAGACATGTATTATAGGCTAGATATGAGGGAGCTTCAAAAAGCTTCTGGAAAGATTCTCTCTTCATTCCAGGAGCTTTTTGAAGCCTACCCATATATCCTGTGCCATTATATGCCTGGCTGCACAATGTATGCAAGAGACATGAGACACGTGTTGCTGGAGCAGGAAGCAGTGTTGTTGGCTGTGTCCCATTCCCTGATTGGAGTGTCTGAATCCATTATAACCTTTTGGAACCGTGCACGTGCATGTGATCAGATGTTGCCTGAACGGATGTTGTGTGACGCGTGACTGGAGAACAGAGCATTTGATGGTATTATTCAAAGGCCCCATTATTACTGTTCATATCACCCAAATAATAACTAGTAGTTTTGAAAGTGTCATAAAAATGGCTATACTTAGAGCATTTAATCAGAGTCAGTATTGTTATCTGTATACAATACTTATGTTAAAATGTGGATTTTTAAAGGCTGATAATGGAAAATGGGCAAAAGACATGAGCAGTTTATTAACAAAAGAGGAAATACAAATGGTCATTTAACTTGAAAATTATTCAAATTCTCAATTTGGATTTTGCGCATTAGATTATTAAAAATAAGACACCTGAATTACACTGGCAAGTTAAAACACTTACTTGGAACATATATTATTATTGTCTATTGATCATGTCTACTAAAATTTAAGTGGTGTCTACTGTTTGAGGTATCTGCCCCATGTCTTGGAACTTAAAAAAGCACTGTTAATGTGGGAAAGGGTGCTTAAGGATATGTGTTTTGAGAAGGACCTGTGCCTTGGAGGGAAATAGTTGAAAATGGTACATGCATATTATAGGTTAATATTCAGACATTAAAAAGAATGAGATAGATCATTGAGAGCCTATCTCCAGTTTATAACCCTAAGGAAACCAATATGCAAGTTACAGAATAATAGATGTAGTTCTAGTTAATATTAAAAAAATAGTCCAAGCCCAGAAAAAAGTGAAACAATAATTTTATCTTGTGGTTAGAATGGAGAGGAGTGGAACTATGAGGCATTATTTTATATTTTTTCTTATTTAAATTGTTGCAAGAGTCCTGTATTTATTTTAAAATAAAACAGCATGGAAAGCCTTTGGGAAGAAATAGAGAAAATATCAACTACCTAACAAAATGACCAGTAACCCCTAATCATTAATTGTCATAAGGTTTAGTTGCTAGAGGGTTCTCTTTACTAACCTAATGTGTCAGATTGCCTTTTTTCTTTAATTGAATACCCTACCATGTGCTCGGTACTTTACATATGCTAAAATTCTCACCATTTCTTAATGTGAGTGTCCCCATTTTCACAGATGAAGAAATTGGAGCTGAAGTTCACTTACATAAGGTCACAGAGCTATAAGTGATGGAGTCAGTATTCAAAGCTGTCTCTGACCCTACCCTGCATCCCCTGCCTGCTAGTTGATTCTGACTAATAACGGCCGCATGGGACATAATAGAACTGCTTCGTAGGGTTTCTGAGACTCTAATTGCTTATGGGAATAGACAACCTCATCTTTTTCTCAAGGAACAGCTGCTGGGTTTGAACTACTGACTGCAATGATCAAGCTAGTGCTTAGCCTGCTACATGACCAGGGCTTCTTTTTTTTTTTTTTTAAACATTTTATTAGGGGCTCATACACTGTTATCTCAATCCATACACACATCAATTGTGTAAAGCGCATTTGTACATCGTTTCTCAAAACATTTTCTCTCCATTTAAACCCCCGAC